GACTCCCCGCTGAGCAGGGATTCCCACGCTGGGGCTCAATCCCAGGACCCTGAGATCATGACCTGAGCTGAAGGCAGATGCTTAAACGACTGAAGTCGCAGTTGGGTGATTTTCAGCGCAACAATTATTTGTCCACCTGAGCCACCCAGGTGCCCCTGACATTGCTTTTTTAAACTACTTTGAGAAGAAATTAAACTTGAATTAGATTTCACAGTTCTGAAATTTTCTACTAAAAATTATTCTGATTAGGTATTGTATAACACAGTAATAGATGATATAAGTTTCATCTTTTATGGATGTGATTATAGATGAGAATTGATTGTTCCTATTATATTTTTGTTTCATTTCCATGCTTTGCATTATCTTATAAAAGATAAATCTAGGGGTGCCTGGGTGGCTCAGTCAGTTAAGCATCTGCCTTTGGCTCAGGTCATGATCCCAGGGTCCTGGGATCAAGCCCCAAGTTGGGCTCCCTGCTCAGTGGGGAGCCTGCTTCTCCCTCTCCTCCCCGCTTGTGCCCTCTCTCACTATCTCTGTCGCTATTTCTGTCTCTCAAATAAATAAATACAATCTTAAAAAAAAATAAATCTAAGCAATATCTTTTAGCAGTGGAGAGGTAATGAAAAAAAAATCATGTCCCTTCTGCAGCTTCATAAGAGGGTGGAGACTGCATATATCATGTGTGTTTTAAACTCATGCTTACAATTTACTTACTTAGTTTTACTTATGTTTTTAAAGTAGGCTCCATGCCCAGCATGGAGCCAAATGCAGGGCTTGAACTCCCGACCCTGAGATCAAGAGTCAGATACTTAACTGACTGAGCCACCCAGGCACCCCAATCAAGAATACTGTGTATTTCAAATTTCTCTTTTTATTAACTTTTTACTGCTTTTCAGTAAAGTTTTGTAGTTTTCATTATCTAGGATTTTTAAATTATTGGATTTATTTTTAGACATTTTTGGCTGCTAGGAGCAGCATTTTTCACAAGGTATTTCCATTGGTTGTTAACTGTGTGCAGGACAGGTAGTGACTGTTGAACATTGATTTTTCCCTCACAGACTAACTCACAATCGGACTAGATCACCCACCTACTTCTTCTTTTTCTTTCTTTTTTTTTTTTTTAAGTGGGCTCCTTGCCCACCACGGGGCTTGAACTCACTGCCCCAAGATCAGGAGGTGCACACTCTATGGACTGAGCCAGCTAGGCGCCCCTAATGCTTGTGATTTAAATGCTTGCCTACCACCAAATCTTCCCATAGTTTTTCTCAAGATGAGACTTAATTGTAACAGAACCATTCGCAAGTTCTGTTTTATGTTTAGTAAGAACACTACAGTTGTTGGTAATACATCTCCATGACTAAATTTCTTACAGCAGTGAGGGAATGTGTATTTTAAGCCAGTACATTTCAGAATATAAATAAAGTTCTCCTACTGTGATTTTTTATTTGTTGGTATAAACTTAACTCTGATTATTAGTATAAGTACTAGAACTTTTGGGTCTTCTTACTTCCAACAAGTATTTTATGCCAATTTCAGGTTTCTCCTTTTAGTTTCATCTCCATTCCAAACTGTCCCACTTCTGAGAACTCAATCATAACCTCCATTCTTCCTCCTTCCTTGCTCCCTCCTTTATTCCCACTCCCACAGTTGCCTGATCCCCAGTCTTCTCCCAGTTCTCAAACATTTGTATCCACATGGTCCCAACCCTGTTCAGCCACTACAGCCACATTTTGACTCTTATCAGCTTTTCTGCTCAGTTTCCCCTGCCCTCCCATCTCCCCACGCCATGTTATCTTTTTGTCCCAAACCTCCACTCCCAGCTTTGGGATTCCAGGCCACTTTGTGTCCATTACAGTCCATAATTTCACGTTCAGCCGGGCTCCCAAAGCTTGAAGGTCTTTTCACTCTTCTCTTGTTAACTCAGTCTCCTTTGTCTCCATGGATTTGCAACCATTCTTCACTTGGGATGTCCTACGCCCCCTCATTACAGAGCCCCGGCTAGACTTCTTCACTCCCAGGAGATATTCTTACTTGCCCAAGAAGATTGAGGGCATCCACCATCAGCAGCTTCCAACTTCCTCTGGCTATATCTCAGTTTTGTATCTTCCTCTCAGCCTTCTTCTGACATGTCTATCTTTGAGGCTAACCTCCTGAGATTGTATAGATTAAACTGACTTTTTAAGCCAGTTTCTTAAAGTGAACTTATTTCTTGGTTTTTGTGTGTGTGTGTGTGTGTGTTTGTTGTGAAGACAAACAGTTTTGAAATAAGCAGTCTTGGACAACTCTATTGCCCACTTGTGAGAGTATGGACGGCCCTGGTTTTGCATGAGTCTGTGGCATGCTCAATTTCAGTTACCACAGTTTAATTAAATAACACCAGTCCCCCAACAACATGGTTTAAGTTTCAGTTACCAAGATTTATTAACTGTGAGGAGTTGCATAGAATACAGTCTTTGCTGCTAGCGTTTTCTGTCCACAAATCACTGTGTAAATAACAGATGCATCTGGTGGCCAGTGACCAGCATGGTTTCTTTTCACGTCTGTCAGTGATTGGTTATGATGCATCTATTGGTCGTTCACAGACAGCAAAGAAAGTGGTTGCGTTGCTTCTTTGTCTGCTGGTGGTAAATGTACATGGCATTTTATACAGATAGATGATCGAAAGAGAATTGGCTGATAAAGATGAAAATTCAGTAAAGGAAAGAAAAGTGATAATGCCAGAAGTGAGATTCAGTTCACATGTAAATGGGGTTCTGGAAGAAAAAGGCAACCGTGGGAATGTTAACACTGCCTCTGTTCAGCAGCCTCTAGCTATGCAGCCAGAAGAACTGAGTGATGGTGAGTTTATGGACATAGTGAGGAGCGTGGCTGTGATGGAAAGGATGAGGATGTCCCAGAGGAAGGGACCCCGGCACAAGAATTCATATTAAAGGAACTTGTGGAGATACTTCACATTATTAAAAGTGCAAAGGTTAAAACATGGAAAACTGATCTAAGCTTGGAAAGGAATGTGGCCAGTTGCCAAGGCATGGAAAATATACTTATTCTGTATTGTAAGCTCTGTGATGAGAAGGAGAAGAAGATAAAGCACTGTTCAAATTGTTCTTGATAAGTTTATTACAATGAAAACTTTAATTCTCCATGTTTTAAATGACAGAAAACTAAATACAGATTAGCTTTACAATTTTTTCATTTCCCTATATGTTTATGTTCAACAGTAAGAGTTTTTAGTGTTTTTGATAGAGACTTAAAAATTACCTTTCATATGTTTGTGTCCACTTACACCACCATCAAAGATTTAGGGGAATCTGTTAGTGCTCTCTGCTGGTACCTTGTTCTGTTTGCCATTGTTTACTTGTTTGTTCAAGCTCTTCCTCTGGTGGCTCCCTACTTCAGTGCACATACATGTACTTAGGTTTTTGATTTCCTAAGAAAAAGGCTCCACCTCGACCCTGTTGTGTTTGAGACCCACTATACTCTTGCTCTCCCTTCCTTTACCCTCATTTTTTTCTGAAATAAGTTAGACCTGCTGATTCAGTTTACTTAACCATTTTCTTTCTCTTTAGTTCTTGTAGTCACTTGATATTAGGCACCTCGAGGACAAAGGTCATGTCCTAACCTGGCGACTGGCATATATGGTCAGACTTGATATGTCTCATTTGAGGAGTGAGTTCATAAAAGCCTGCACCCACCATCCACCCTGTCCCATTCACCCATTCCTCATCTCTATTATCTCTTTAGCTTGGCTTTTGGGAAACACCACTCCACCTGTCCCCACTACATCCATTCCCCTTTGCATATTCTTTGTTCTAGCCAAAGTAAGCTGCTCATTGTTTATTTGCTGCCTTCCATTTCTTCCTTCAGACCTGTCCTTATGCTGGCCTTCCTCCTAGAAGTGTGCTCTATTATATCATTGATCATATCATATCATCATCTCCCCCTTTCAGAGCCCCGCCCAAAGTCTTTCTCCATGAAGCCTTCTCTGATTTCCTTCTCTTCAACCACTGCAACCTTTCTCCTTCTTTAAACAACTATGGGACTGGAGCTGCCTCCTAGGACTTGCCAAATATGAGCCATTTATGCTGTTATATTTACCCTTTCCCACACAAATAGAAGCTCCCTGAGGCATCTGTTACTCTTTCCTATGTATAACACAGTCTTTACACATAGTTGGTACTGAATGCATGGTTTGTCGGATTTTCCTGCAAAGTGAGATTCCAGAGAGCTCTCCGGGAAACTCCATGCCACTAAAAATATTGAGGGTTCTCTGGATTTTTTTTTCTAATTCTCAAATAAAAATTCTGTGTGGTATGTCTACTTATCTTAAAATGTCAAAGGCCACAAGAGTGGAGACTGAGAAAGTGGCAAATGTTAGAGCTGGAAAGAATTTTAGCGATCCATGAAGTCCAGCCCTTTAATTGTAAAGGTGAGTAATCTGATGTCTAGAGCATGTAAGTGATCTCCCCCAAGTCACACAACCAGTTTGTGGTAACATTTGGGCCCACAGCGCAGTTCCCAGCCCTGTCTAGTGCCTGTCCCCACAAACTGCCGTGGGGCATGGGGCATGTGAGGATATTGTTTAGGGTTTATGTAGTTAAACTATGGAAAAGAGGCATCTAATAGTCTCATATTACCTTTTATGGATTAACAAATAAGAAATTGAATCTCTAATTAGATTTTTTTTTCCCCCTCTCTCCTTCCCTTAATTATTTCCAAATTCTCTGACTGGATTTATTTGCACTAACTGGGAAATTTCTGGAAGCATTAATCTTCGATGGCATAGATTCATTTGCTAACACTTAAGTAAACTTTTTCTTGAAATAAAACATACATACAGAAAAATGCACAAAGCATAGGTATGCAGTTTGAATTTTCACAAAGCACACACATCCATGTGACCTGCACCCACATCAGGAAAGAAAGCAGCACCAGCAACTTTAGAAACATTTGACGAAATAAAAGGGTTTAAAGCTATATAACTTTCTTTTTTCTCCCCACAGGTATTGTCAGTCTGTGTGTTAACAACAATCCTTGGTTGTATATTTGGGTTGAAACCCAGCTGTGCCAAAGAAGGTAATTACTACAGTAATTCGTGTGCAGACGTGTGTGTGTGTGTGTGTGTTGCTATTTAGACTTCTTCAGAATATGATTGAGAAAGTGTTATGTCCTAATCTGTAGGTCCTCAGTAGTTACTGCAGATTTGATGCTGGTTTGAGCCTTCTTGAAGCTCTTTTGTTGAATTAGCCATATAATACTCTATTTGCAAAACTTCATCCTAAAACAACAAAGAGGGGCTAGGACCAAAAAATCAACCAAGCAAAGAGAAAACCCCCAAAGCAACAAAAAATAAATTAAGAACAGTGAAACAAACAAGCAAATATGGCCTAAAGATTCTGGTGCTGGGCCCCTGGAACCCTCTCCCTGACTTTGTCCAGGGACTCCTAAGACACTCTTTTTCCCCAGGGAGTTAGTTGCTGAAGCAGCCCTGGATGGGTTACTAGGTAACCAGGTAGCGTCTCTGGGCAATCAGAAACTTATTGTTACATGCCCTTGGCTTTTAAAATTGCGGGCCTTGGTGGTCAGGAGCTAGGCTTATTCCGTTTTTCTGTTGGATTTGCATTATTTTACAAGTGGATTTTAGTAATCTAATGAAAACCTAGCTTTTTCCAGGTATCTAGTAAACAGTTACAACATAAAATTATTGTTTTTGATAAGAAGTCTTCCTTCCATATTCACCATGTATCCATTTAACAAAAACTTGCTAGTACCAACTAGCATCTTGTGGGGTGCCAGGATGCAGTATGCTGGGCAAAATCCATGTGTGGTCTTTGTCCTTAAGCTGGTAGTCTAGTGTGAGACTGGGATAGTAACCAAATACTCTAGTTCGGATGGAAATAAGTGACGGAGGGGAAGGACAAGGTTTTATAAAAGCTTAAAAAAAGTAAATCAGACCTTGACTGGGAAATTTGGGCACCACCTGGATCTGAAGGCCAAATCTGTATTTTAGGTGATGGGGGGAGGGGTACTCCTGCAGAATGTTCGTACACGGACATCACTTCTTTCATACACCAAGCCTGGGGGTGAGGTAAGTCAGGCATTCTTTCTCTTTCTCTGAAATATTCAGATAATTAATTTTAAAACTTTATCTCACATTTCGAAATTTTAGAGAACTTTATGGCTGTGTAAGCCAACCTTTTCCGAGCATAAAACATTCAGCACAAGTCCTTCTTCTGACTTTCTTTACCATGCCATAAGGATTTAAGTCTTGGCAGCCCCAGTTGGGTTTGTCATAAATTTTAAAAGTTCTTTTTTTCTATGGCAAGAGAGAAGATCAAAACTCTGTGCCTTCTCTTTGTGCCACTTTCTACGTGTATTTGTGAAAAGATTTTTGGGTACCTTTATTACGCCATCTGTGTTTTCTAAGGTAGGATTTGAATCTATCTTAGGTATATTAGTTGATGTTTGCTTTGTGCTTCTATGATCCGAAAGCTCTAACTCATTATTCTATATTTTCAGTGAAAAGTTGCAAAGGTCGCTGTTTTGAGAGAACATTTGGCAACTGCCGCTGTGATGTTGCTTGCGTTGACCTTGGAAACTGCTGTCTGGATTACCAGGAGACATGTATAGAACCAGGTAAATAAAACTATGCAGGGAGGGCACCTGGGTGGCTCAGTTGGTTAAGCAACTGATTTCAGCTCAGGTCATGATCCTGGAGTCCTGGGATCGAGTTCCGAGTCAGGCTCCCGCTCAGAGGGGAGCCTGCTTCTCCCTCTGACCCTCCCCCCTCTCATGCTCTCTCTCTCTCTCAAATAAATAAATAAAATCTTAAGAAAAATATGCAGGGAAAAAGATGGGGATCAGGGACAAGTTCTGCATCTTTTAGGTATGTGATTTATCTAACTCATTTGAGATTTTTAAAAATTTGGCCTTTGTATTTCCTTAGAGAAAAAAATGTCACGAGTTTTGCCTTTGTTCAACACTTTATGGAGAGCCAAACCATGCCTGTTTTTAATGTATGCAGAAAGCCAATATAATCTAATTTGCACTTAAACTAACTTCAAAAAGGCTGCTTGAAATACATGAATATTTTCAGTGTGGGCTCATTAAAACAAGAGTTCTTAGACATCCACTTCTTTTTATTGAAGTATAGAGTTGACACAGAATGTTACATTAGTTTCACATGTACTTACATGTCTACTTACACTTCAAAATAAAACCATCAGAATGTATGTTTTCTCAGTTTGATTTGGATTTCTCTACGTAGGTCATGGATATTTAATATTTAAATGAGAATAAACCAGATTCAGGTGAAATTTTGAGAACCCTGAAAACGGCTGGTGGGAAAAAGCCAAGAAAGATCTATATAAGAATTGTACGATAATAATGTTTGTCCATGTTTTAAAATGTCGAAATTCTGTTCTTTTTAGCAACATAATAACACTTATTGCATGCATGTTTTCTGTTAGTTCACATCAACCACTGTGGTGGCCGACCCTGCGAGGAACTCTGAGGAATGAAAGAGTTCCTTGTGTCTCGTGGATCTTGCCCCAGAGGAGAGCAAGTCTGCGTCCACTTCCAATGTGTTGAATTTGGACCATAACGTGTATTTTGTTGTTTGTTTCTAGAACGTATATGGACTTGCAGCAAATTCAGGTGTGGGGAGAAAAGGTTGTCCAGAAGCTTGTGCTCCTGTTCAGATGACTGCAGGGACAAGGGCGACTGTTGTGTCAACTTCAGGGCCGTGTGCCAAGGTCAGCTCTCCACGCGCCCATCTGGTTCCACAGCAGCCTGCCATCCTCCTTGGTGGTGGCGGGGTTTTGCAGAGCTGTCATTTTTTACATTAGGGATCCTATTTATTGACCAACTGTGTTGGCCGAAAAGATATTTAAAAAGCATTTTATTAAAGAAAAATTCAAACATGAGAGTCAGGAAAGTATGCAGTGAATCTTGTACCCATCCATCGGTTGAGGAATTCCTATGACCTACACACAGCAAATCTTGTTCTGTGTATAGTTACTCCCTCTCCCGCTACACCCCTTCATGTTATTTTGACATTAGCTACACATTTAATGCTGCCTTGTGGAAAGATGGCTTTTGCAGTCCTGGCTGATTTCTATGTCCCAAGTGCCCTCATTGTGAATGAGGACAGTGTCTGCCACATGTTGAAAGAAGAGATGTGAAATTACTGCCCAGGGTTATGGGTATTATGTGAGCTGATGCTATTGTGATGTCTTGTCCAAGGGTGCTTTGAAATTGATATGAGGGGAACTAAGATATCCAGGATTTAGTACTAGAAGATGTTGTTGGGTGGATAAAAGGAGACTTGTAAATTTTGGCTGAAAATATCAACCACTCAAGAATGAAAAAGGTGCCTTTGGGCGCCTGGGTGGTTCAGTTGGTTAAGCGACTGCCTTCGGCTCAGGTCATGATCCTGGAGTCCCTGGATCGAGTCCCACATCGGGCTCCCTGCTCGGCAGGGAGTCTGCTTCTCCCTCTGACCCTCCCCCCTCTCATGTGCTCTCTCTCATTCTCTCTCTCTCAAATAAATAAATAAAATCTTAAAAAAAAAAAAAAGGTGCCTTTAAGTTCCCACAAATACAGTAATATGTTTTAGTCTTGCAATTACACATTTTTTTTCTTCCTGATATCAACTAACTCTTACTATGAGACATAGTAACTTTCTGTATTTGTTGTATTTCCCTAGAATCATGCCCCATATTATCTACATACCTGTTAACATTTTGTTTTTGGAATCTGTCATAATATGTCTCACAGCATCACAGTTATTGTTACTGTTCAGTGTGTTCAACTTGTTTTATTTCTTGAAAATATTTTAGGAGAGAAAAGTTGGGTAGAAGAAACTTGTGAGAGCATTAATGAGCCACAGTGTCCATCAGGGTAAGATGATATTCTGAAATACTATTTTTTTAGAGTACTATTTTTTTTCTCTTTCCACAGAATAAAAATAATAATCAATCATTGGTTCATTAAATGTTGTTTTTAGTCAGGCCTTGTGTTGGTCACTGGTGGTGTAGAGTTAATTATGGAATGACCCTTCACTCTGGAAGCTAACAGAAAAAAAGGAAGGTCATGACTATTTAGTCTTTACTGGCCGTGAGCAGTGGGTGGAAATCTTTTGTCTTTCTCATTAGGAAGGAAGGCCTTTTACTTTCTTTCTTTCTTTTTTTTTTTAATTTTATTTTATTATGTTATGTTAATCACCACACATTACATCATTAGTTTTTGATGTCGTGTTCCATGATTCATTGTTTGCGTATAACACCCAGTGCTCCATTCAGTATGTGCCTTCTTTAATACCCATTACCAGGCTAACCCATCCCCCCACCCCCTCCCCTCTAGAACCCTCAGTTTGTTTCTCAGAGTCCATAGTCTCTCATGGTTCGTCTCCCCCTCCGAT